TTGAATAAAAGGGCCACTTGTGATTCTCTTTACAAAGAGTGTTGCTGTTCAGGCTTAATTTATCGCTACAGACCTCTAGTGTTGTCAGGCAGTCGGCACATTAGGTATATATACTTTTTTGATGATCTCTATAACACAGAATTAATCACAGTCTGTGGAGACTAAGATTAGCAAGTTTATTTCTGAATATTAAATTGTGCTGAAACACAGGCCTTAATGTATATGCAAGTTAAACTGTTTGAAAACACAAGTCACTTCAGGTCAAAAACATCAATTACATCAATTACACCAGCCCACAACAGTTATGGTGGCTCCTTATGTAATATGTTATTGCCTTCGTTGCCAGATTAGGGTTGCCAAGTTCTGCCAGGTCTTTTCTTCAAAAAAGATCTTTCATCTCAGGGGACAGCTTGGTTAGAGAAAGGTTACGTAAATACGTTAAGTATGAATAAAATTAAGCGTTAGCTTTAACAAGGCCTCATTCAACAGTGTCAAGACTTTTTGGAACCGACCGGAAAAAAAGTCAACAGCCTTGAGTAACATGGCAGCTCTGAGCTACACAGCAGAGAGTCCGGGCCTAGTCTCCACTGGGTCAAGGTAATCACAACCACATATGATTTTCATCCGAATTTGGCAAAAAGATGACATGAAGGGATAAGAGAAAAAGCTATTTCCTTTTGACTCGAGATGAATTCAGGGAAGCTGGCTGTCATGGTAACCCCAATCAACAAACATGAACTGAACACTCTACAGCTCCTAGATCTGTTATCCGTAAGTATTTTATAGTATGTTGTTTAATTTTCCAAATTCTGAGAATGTTCTCAATACAGACTTTATTTGCCTCCAATAAGCTAAAGGTTCTACTTACAGAGGGTGAGAAAAGAGATGAAACATGCATGAAATGTGTGTGTGTGACAAAAATATAAATACTGACATTCATCTATTCCCTAACTGAATCTATCTATCTATCTATCTATCTATATCTCTCTCTCTCTCTCTCTCTCTCTCTCTCTATATATATATATGTATATATATACACACAGTACTTATAACAACAAAAAAGGTCACATCAAGAGGGAGGAAAATACAGAAAAAAAACATATCAAATGAGTGTGAAATGTTAAACCATTTTTTCAGTTATTATACTGACTTCCTTGAAATTATATTGAAATATGAATTAATTTCTTTTGATTATATTTGAAATAAGAGCATTGCACAGTGCACACCATAATACCAGTGCTTTACCACTTAATAGTTTTACTTAAAAGTTTGTGCTTTTACATCATTTAAATAATACAATTCTATACATAATATTATGTTGTCCTAGCTGTTGTCAAAAATGTGTTTGGCAAAAACAGAGACTTAATTCATTTTCATTTGAAATGAGCAAAATCCTTTTCGAAAACATATTTGTTTTTTGATCAGCTGATATGCAAAATCAGTCTTGAATTAAGGACTTTTATTTAAAAAAAAAAACTGTTCTTTACCAGTTTTAACGATTCCAAAGTCATGCAACATTCCATAATTAGCAGATCAATTGCCCCTAACTGCACTGGCAAGATAAAACTTAAAATTTTTAAGTGAATTAATTATGTGACATGCAGATTAATTATTTGCGATTAATTATATTTTTAATGAAATTTTCAAATCAAAATGAGCATTAAGATTTGCAAAGTCAATTCCTCAAATGAAGATCAATATATTACTGTGGCAGTTGAAAGCTTTGAAAAGACATTAAAAAATATTGTTAGTTTGTTCAATGTATAATTTGTTGGACTATGTACACATGTAGACTGATGCTATTGTCGTTGACTGCATGGCATGAGCACTGGACGACCCTAATAAGCAATAAGCTAACATGGCTTCAACAAATCTAATGTAGCCTTTCAACTGCTCAACCCAAAAAAACAACAAAACCACCACACGCTGTGTTCCATGGCGTCGCACGTTCATAAACGCTTTGCACAGCGGGGTTCTTGATCGCATGTTTGCAGTGCTGATCTCATGCAGGCTGTCTGGCGGAGACGGGCAGCGTTCTCTGGGCTGTAATGTTTCAGTCTGACCAGAAACTATGTGGGAGCGGGAGCACTCGCCGCGGTTTCACTGCCATGGTACTCTACCACAAACCACTGGACGGCTGCCCAAGGCACCAGAGCCAGAGCGCTGGCAGAGGCTTTCCCCTGTGGAGCACCTCTGTGTCGGGCATGCAGGCCCACGGAAATCCTTATGCCATTGGTGGAGTTCTGCCTCAAACATACCACTTCAAAAACAAACCAAACAGCAAAAGGACAACCCCTGGAAAAAAAGAACAACCTCTATGTTTCATGCAGGTTATTTTACTCTCCCCGATGTCTTCCCCCACTTATTCCCTGCATATCATTCCCCTCTGAGAGATGAAGAGATTTTCCATGGCATTTGAACTGGAAAGAGTGGCCTCAGCCAATCCATCAAAAGAATGTGGTCGAAAACTGAATTTGGCTACTAGGAAAAGAAGGCAGTCTGATAATTTAAATGTGTTCTAGCCATCATATATTTATTTACCTATGCATTCAGTGAAGAGAATATCAAGAACATAGCCTACTCTAATGTTTGTTCATGTTATCATGGAGACTAGGCCTATACAGCTAATAACTAGTAGGGTTTAGTGTTCAGAATCGTTTTTAAAATCAGAATTTAGTGTTTTATTTCTCTAAACTCAGTAGTTGAACTGTGTATTTATTTCCCTGTCCTGAAGACTTTGACAGTAGTATATATCAAAGCCTCTTTTAGACTTTAAAGGTGACATATCATGAAAATCGGACTTTTCCAGGTTTTAAGTGCTATAATCAGGTCGCCGGTGCATCTACCAATCAAGGAAAAGTGAAAAGTGATTAACTCAGTAACTTTGTTTTGATAAGCTTTTTTCTGCGTCTGAAAAAACGAGCGTGTCTGATCTCGCTCCCCTAGTGACATTGCAAAGGGATCTCATTATAATATTACCCCTTAATCTGTACATTTCCACCCACGGCGCCGTCATTTTGATTTCGCAAGCGACAACGGTGTAATGTCATGGTGAAAGTTTGAGCAAAACATGCTAACTGTTCTGCCTTTGGCTGCACAGACGAGCACAGAACACTATTTAGAGTCCCAGCCTCAGAGAAGACAAGAGAGCAGTGGATTTATTTATTTATTTAAAGGGGTCATATGATGTTGCTATTAAAGGTGACATATCATGAAAATCGGACTTTTCCAGGTTTTTTTAAGTGCTATAATCAGGTCCCCGGTGCATCTACCAACCAAGGAAACGTGAAAAAGATTAACCCAGTAACTTTGTTTTGGTAAGCCTTTTTCTGCAAGCGTCTGAGAAAACGAGCGTGTCCGATTTCGCTCCCTTGGTGACTTGGCAAAGGGATCTCATTATCATATTACCGCCCCTTAATCTGCACGTTTCCACGCACGGCGCCATCATTTTGATTTCGCAAGCGACAACGGTGTAATGTCATGGTGAAAGTTTGAGCAAAACATGCTAACTGTTCTGCCTTTGGCTGCACAGACGAGCACAGAACACTATTTAGAGTCCCAGCCTCAGAGAAGACAAGAGAGCAGTGGATTTATTTATTTATTTAAAGGGGTCATATGATGTTGCTAAAAAGAACATTATTTTGTGTATTTGGTGTAACGAAATGTTTATGCGGTTTAAGGTTTAAAAAACACATTATTTTCCACATACTGTACATTACTGTTTCTCGTCTATGACCCGCTTTTCTGAAACGCGCCAATTTTTACAAAGCTCATCGGTCTAAAGTGTTTCTGCTTCCACTCAAAATAGGCATTTTCAAAATGATATAATAAATGATCTGTGGAGTATTTTGAGCTGAAACTTCACAGACACATTCTGTTGACACTAGAGACTTATATTACATATTGTAAAAAGGGGCATAATATGTCTCCTTTAAATAAACTTTGGTCAATGTTGTGAAACCTCAGTATGTGTCCATGTGGTAAGAGGTAGAATGATTAAAACATTTTTTTAAAAATCTATCTATCTATCTATCTATCGGGTCAGGTTTTTTTCCTCTTAGTCAACAAGGTCATGTTGAATTGATTGATAGTATCAAAAGTGACTGTAAAAATTAATAATGCTACAAAATATATCTATTTATGCTGTTCTTTTGAACTTGCTATTTAAAGAGTCCTGAAAAACAAAATGTATCACAATGGTTGTGCTGTTAAGAATATTTAGAAACACAACTGTTTTCATTTTCACATTGACAATATTTTTTGAAATGGTATGAGCAACGAATCAGCATATTAAAATTATTTCTGATGCATCATGAAACAATGAATGTTGGAGTAATGGCTGCTGAAAATTCAGCTTTTGCGAAATTGCAAAAGTATTTCAAAATATCACGGTTTTTACTGTATTTAGGTTTTTTTTTTCTTTTTGATTGAATAAATGCAGCACTGGTGAGAATAAGGGACTTCTTTCAAAAACACTAAAAATCTTACCAACCCCTAACTTTTGAAACATAAAATTTACATGGAAATTAAAATAACAAAACACACAACTCGATGTGACCACCTATTTGACGTTAGGTACATAAATGCATTCAAAAGACTCTTCTACATCTAAAGTAGGCCTATTTACTGAAATTAATGATTTAATAAGATTACATCAATTATCAGGCATTCACATCATCAGGCTTGCAAGTCCTGGATTGAGAATACGCCTGGAAAGTGTGAGAGACAAGAGAGAATGAGAGCGAGAATAGCTAGAGGTAAATGGGAGATCAATGTTATAATTACAATGCAGCCAGAGCCTAATTCGATGCAGTCAAGTTAATCAATATGGGTTTTGTTTTTTTTAAGTCGAAGACATAAAATCTAGCATGTGCTTTTAGCTACTGGGCTCCCGGCTGCCAAGTGCATGTAACCATTTCTGGAACGAGAACAGGGGCCTTCCCTCAATTCCACAGAGAGACCGCCTCTGATGCAATGTGGAGCGCTTAATACGACAAACCCACACAACCACTCAAACGACGGTAAACAAAACTGTGGTGACTGGTAATTTGATGGTGAGCGCAATCTTCCAAGATAGGCCCAGTGGATTCTGTCATGTTTTGGTTTGTTTTCATTCAGGGCAAATGGCAAGAAAACAGGTGGAATGCTTGGCCCAGAAATTTAAAATTGGTTCTTCACATCACACTGGATGTAAATATCGCACTAACCAACACCGTGTTGGTTTGGGAGCGATGACGATCGAGGCAAGGCGAGTGGACAAAATTGAGCCGTGACGTAGTTTGAGGTGTTTGCTGTGAAAACCATCAAAGGGAGAGCAAGCTAAAACCCAAAGCTGTGGCTTGGAGATTCAGCATTATATAACAGCCGGTCAGTTTTCTGTGGGTCTTCATCTGTCTGTTGAGGAGTACAATGACATCACAGGTCATTTCAGGGTCAGTAGAGCAAAGTTACACAGACAGCTTACACTGTAGAGATGTTACTGGTGCTTCAGCCTACCGTATCACTGTTGCTTGCAATTCAATCCTACTCGTAAATAGAACATGCCTTATTTGAATCATTATGCTAAATATTGATGCATACATGCACTTATTTTCAGAACAAACCTTCTTCAGAAAGCAACAAATTCTTTGGAGCATTTCACCACATTGTTTTGACTTAACCAGGGAATGTCTTTGTCGTTTCGTTTTGTTGTCGAGTGATGTGGCTGCTTGTGTTACTATTTATTTTAATACTATTTATTTTAACATAATTACAAGTGGAGAGGGCAGCGGGTGAAATGATGGAGAGACAGAAAGACAAACAAAGAGAGATAGACTAGAGGGAGCACAAGTACAAAGAATTGAGAAATATCACATTTCCAGCTTGTAACAATCCATGGAACACACATATTGTGCAAAAGTACAAAGATGTTGTTGACTGAGAGGGATGGGATGTGCCAAGCTACAATAAACACTATTCATCTTGGATCTTGAGGACTTCTAACTCATGAATCCTTCTCCTTTCCACAGACTATTCCAGATCAACGTGGAAGTAAGGATAGGACAAATGTATTAAGAAATATACAATGGAATTCAAAAGACCACTAGTGAAAACACTTTCATGTTGCCTTTATTAGATTTAATGCAGTTTTATATTATCACAATAACAATTTGAGTGAAAAGTTGAATGCCTTAGTATTTAGTATGTCTCCTAGCTGTCTGTACAAAGAAGTTCATGTGATCAATGACATAAATGTGTTTATTGGATTAGTGACCTAAAATAGCGCAGAATATTATGAATTATATATATTATACTTTTTCATTTTACATCATAAATCTTTGTTTTAAGTATTTCCAGGTTTAAATCAGATTACGAAAGCGAGCTTTGCAAAGGTCTCACACTTCTGCATCTGTACTTTGCAGTTTCAAAACAGTGATTGTGGATATTCATTGTTAATGTCTTTGGGTTGGGATAAGCGTTCGCTCTTTTTCTCAGCCTCAGACAGGCTCTCTGCAGGGTGTCACCGAGTCGGGGGAAGCCTCTGGAAACTCGCCTCAGCTCACTGATCATTCCTGACGGCTTTTTGGAAACAATGTGGAGAAACACGCTACCATGGCACATACTGTACGTATTCAGACATCTTAAATGTCCACATGTTCTTTCAACTCTTTTCACTTTTTAGAAACGCTCTTAGAAAACTTCACAGAGATGTCTTTCTTCCACTTCAAGGAGTCATGTTTGAAAGTAAATGGCACCAGTCAAAAGCCTACAACATTTCAGTGAAAGCTTCAAGTGAAACAGACAAGTTGACTCATAAAAGAATCATAAGAAATATAAGCTGAAGGTCAAAAGAGTTCAGACCAGCAATCTGTACTCCATGGCATAAATGCAGAAACAAAGACTCTTTGAGAGGTATTTTATGTTATGTGCATTGGCAGCACCAAATATAACGGTTTACGGCACAGATTTCTAAAGTCAGAAGATCTAAACATCTTTTATTCAAAGAACACTTCAAAGTGATGCTTTCACATTACCAGTGCATTACTTAAGAGATAATTTTCTCTTTTACTCTCCCTTTTTCTGAGGAAACATATAGTCCATTTGCGTGCCTCAAAACAGAGGGATCTGTAAAACTATTACTAGTTAGGCTATAGATCCCCCTTCTCAGAAATCATCATCATTGCCTTTTGCTCTACTGTTACCAGCCCAAGTCCAAAATCAAGGTACTGTGAAACTGGGTGGCCAGTTTTATAAATTATACATGGGCAATATCACACGAGTAGCAGTGCGATATGGCTATATATCGGCACGGCTGTGATACGGCCGTACATTGTAAAGAATAAATCCGTAAAATAACAGAAAAAGTACTGGCAGCTCATTACACAGGACATTATCCATTAATTTCACGGACATTTCTGTTAACTCTAAAACACAATGCAATGTAAAATTGAAGTGTAAAGTTCTAACTACTGGTAAAACACCTGTAAAAAATAAATACAGAAAAATTCCTTCAAATTATACAGTATATTGTGCCCTATTTTTACAGATTTTTTTAGAGTGTAGGTAATCACAGCGTGCCGATATACAGGTGCATCTCAATAAATTAAAATGTCATGGAATAAAGCAAAAGGAGCCCCTACCAAGTATTGAGTACATGTACAGTAAATAAACACACTTTCCAGAAGGCCAACAATTCACTAAAAATGTTTTTATTATTGGTCTTATGAAGTATTCTAATTTGTTGAGATAGTGAATTGGTGGGTTTTTGTTAAATGTGAGCCAAAATCATCACAATTAAAAAAACCAAAGACTTAAACTACTTCAGTCTGTGTGCATTGAATTTATTTAATACACGAGTTTCACAATTTGAGTTGAATTACTGAAATAAATTAACTTTTCCACGACATTCTAATTTATTGAGATGCACCTGTACAGCAATATCGAATGGCTACGAGTGTGATATTGCATTTATACGACAGTTCGCACAAGTGTGTAAATACATAAGAAACAAAAATGGAGTGTCTTTGAAAACCCTTTTTTGTGCAATCTACTTCCTTCTGCCACGGATTCAAATGTTAAAGTTGACAGTTTAACAGTTGAGCCCAAGCCTCCGTTACTAATTCAAAAATGTCACTTTAGAACTAGTAACGAAGGAACGTTGAGATGCTTCACTGAAAACTTACTGTATAAGTGTATTCAAAAGCTCACTGTATTATGTAGAGTTGAGTATTATGAATGAGAGATGGACTGAGTGAGTGTGAATACCTGCATCTGATACAACATTATTTCTTCAGCTCAATCTCATATTCACAACAAAACATTAGTTTGAATTAGGGCTACGCGGTATATCGAGTTTGTACGATATATCGATATTTTCATTATAAGCGATTCGATATGAGGCAATACCGTTTATATCGATATACAGTAGTTTGATACGAGCGCATCTGAAAATATAGCGGAGGACACACAGACTGAGCTGCTGCGGAGAAAGTGCATAATCCAATTTGATCAAAACATGTGACAAGCTTCATATTAAGGCCTTTAAAAACTGGTAAGACATAGTTTATAGTTTCGTTTCGCATATTAGTTTAAGCGGCTCGGCCCGTCATATGCTCTGACAGAAAGCTGCATGTGCTTTAATGTGTTTGAGATGCGCCGTCTTCCTGAATGCATAACTTACATTGCACAGGTATATTCTCCATCTGTAAATGTTAGAAAGCCATGGAAATATTTAATTTTTTCTGTCAGAAGTGCATGAGCCTTCTGGGATTCTCCACTAAACTTCACTTCAGTGAACGAGCACCACCGCGCGCATTCGCGCAAAACGGACAGAGCTCAATTAAATAGGAGTGCAATAATTCTGAATAAAATACATTTCACTGAAATATTTGTAGTTTGACGATAAATGTGACATAGAATTTTAACCTACAAGTAAGTCTATTTTTATGATAGCACTGACTGTAAAGTGACTGTAATGGGGTAATCAAAACAGCCTAACACAACTCTGTGCCTTTGTTCTCATTCATTTTCATTTTTAGTTTAGTGAATTTAACTAAGTTTAGTGAATTTTGTTTTTAGATTGCAATGTTACAATGTTAGAATGAAATGTGATTTTAACCCCTTTTTTGCACATAATATAAAGGCTTACATGGTTACATTCACTTTATTTATTTTCATAGCCTTTAATATGTATTGTTTTGTTGGACAACATTGTGCGGTAAGTGAAATATATATATATAAAATACAGATTTTTTTTAATCCAAATACAAAAACGAAAATACTGACATATATACCGTATATCGCAACTTGTCCCAAAAATACAGAGATATTAATTTTTGCCCACACTGAAAAAAATGAACATAGCATGTCTTTGAAATTACAACACAATTAATTTATATTTCTGTTGTGAACATGCTTTAATCAAGTAGATTTCAATTGTTCATATTGAGTGTTGTATGTACACATTTCTCTCACGTTGATTGAAATTGATTGCATCTAAAACTGAAATCAATCTAATTGAGTTTTGACACAACCGGGGCACTCCGGAGCAGATGGTGGCGGTATTGCATCATTGAGAGGCATGACAAACTGCCGTAAAAGGAGAAATTGAATCGAGCGCCAAAAACTGTGAAAGATTCAGCAGCTGAGTTAGCAGTCACCTCGTCTCAGACGAACAACGATTTACTGAAAAGTTCAGCAAACTGTTTTATATTTGTTTTCAGATAGGCGATATTTCCACTAGATAACAGTTTTCGTAGATTATAACCATTACAATGGTCAATTACCAACACTTTAACACTCTGCTAGTTTATCATTAAAGGGTTAGTTCACCCAAAAATGAAAATTGGCTTGTGTTTTACTCACCCTCTAAGCGTCCTAGGTGTATATGACTTTCTTCTTTCAGACGAATCCAGTCGGAGTTATATTAAAAATTGTCCTGGCTATTCCAAGCTCTATCATTGCAGTCAGCGGGTGTTGCAGTTGAACTGTCCACAAGTCGTCAAATAAAGCGTGCGCATTCATAATAAAACGTGCTTCACACGGCTCTGGGGGGGGTGAATAAAGGCCTTCTGTAGTGAATCCATGTGTTTTTGTAAGAAAAATATCCACATTTCAAACGTAATAAACACTTTTATATCACTTCCGCCAACTGTCATACACAGAAGCCTTTCCGGCGGATGACGTAGCACGTCGGCGTTGCGTGATTAGTGACGAATGCGGAGAGACAACAAAACAAAACGCCGGTCATAAATTAGAAGCACAAACCGAAGATTTGCAAAGACAAATGTCGGAGGATTTCTATATAAGCCAAGAGGAGACTGACACAGTTGCATTGCTGTCTATGGAGGGTCAGAAAGCTATCAAAAATATCTTAATTTGTGTTCCGAAGATGAACAAAGGTCTTACATGTTTGGTACAACATGAAGGGTGAGTAATTAATGACAGAATTTTTTATTTCTGGGTGATCTATCCCTTTAAGATGCATGGTTTACCTTGGCAGTGAACTCTAACTAGCTCTTGCTCTATTTTAACATTCACTTTGTGCCCTGTTTTGATTATTTAAATAAAAGTGTTTTGTTTTTTTCTTCAGAATGCAGTTTGTTCTAACAGTTTACTATTTTGTATATGCACTTTTAAGTCTACTGTGACAGTTAATATTTTTACAAATGTCTTTGCTGTTCTTAATCGACACTGACAACAGTTAATAGTAAGTTTATAAATGTCTTGCCGTTCTTAATTCAATATAACAATACATTATGTATTTGTGTTTGAATATGCTGCTGATGCAGCATTTAAAGTTTTTTTTTATTCTTTTGTGTAATCAATTAATGGCAACTCTGCTCAGTCCTCCATTTGTAAATTTGTAAAGTTTGACAACTCAATACAACCAAATTTAAGTACCAACTCTTGCTTTTTGCCTTTATTGTCAATGCCAGTATGCATTTTTAGAATTTTGATTTTGTATTCACACGTTTGAACATGTCTACAGTACATGTAGAATTTAATAAAGCAAGTTAGGTTTACACAACTCTGGTACCAGAGACATAATGAAATTGCTTTAGAGTTGCGTAATATAATTAATATTAACATTAAGAAATCAAGTTGGTAACCTTGACACAATGAAATCACTTTAACAGTTCACAATGCATTTGTGTAACGACAATCAGTAATGACAAATAACGTCTTGAATCAACATGATTATTTTTAGTCTAACGTGAATGAAATATTTTGGTTTGGCAAGCAATAAGTCATTGCGAAAAAGAGGACAATTATGTCAGTTGAACACATTCTGATCATGTGGGACCGACGTACACATTCAAATAAAGTAAATTCAAAGCACTTTTTTTTCCACTGCATATCGCCCAGCCCTAGTTTGAATGTCCGCTGAGGAAAGCGATAGGTTTTGTTGTACCATCCTTTCATCTGTTAAGGGTGATTTCCGATGACAGTGCTGCTCAGTGCATTTGTTGGCTGCATCTGTTGTTGAAAGTAAAAATAACTTCCTTGTTTACAACCCTGTTTTAGTCTCTTTTAACTAGGGCTGGCTCGATACCACTTTTTCCGAACTGATCCCGATCCGATACCAAACTTTCGGAGTATCTGCCGATACAGATATTGATCTGATACCAGTGCAGTTTTTTTTTTAAATCAGTGTAGAATTTCTATACCTCAATGTGTGTTGACCTGATCGTCACTCTTTTGTGTGTTACACACAATCTACTAAATATAGACAACTTAATTATAAAGAAAAATAACAAACGAAAAAAAA